GTACTTCATCGATCTGCCTGTTCTGCTCCCCACTCTGTCTCTGGTGAAGCCTCTCACCACCCCTGAGCCTCTGGCCTATACCCCAGTTCTGTATGTACAAATAAGTAAATCTTAAAAAAAAAACAAAAAAACATAGTTGACTGGCTAAGTTTTCTGAGTGTCAACTTGGAGAAAATAACCTACTAACTTCCATTTTGGTTTTAATTTTATTGTGCAATGAAAGCATATGTAAGCGCCTCCTTTCTGCTGAGCATTACACCAACTTAGCACCGCTTTACTTTTTCTATTTCCCAATCATTTTTAATATACTTCAACGCTGATTTCAGCAACACATCTGAGTAACTGCAGCGTCATGGGTCCACTGAGGAGAGACAGTGAGGAGCCCTGATTAGACAGGCAGTGTCAATAGGACAGGCCTCTGAATTCCCAGTCATGAGCCAAAATACGAAAGTCCAAGTTTATCCCAGCAATTCAGAGATGTCAACATACAGTACGTGAGGGCACAAGTTGTATTGAAGTCTGCCGTATGACTGCTACTAAAAAGCCTTTGCTGCTGACACTGAGGCTTGCCTACCTAGCTGTCTTTCCAGCTCCCACCCTCGTTGGTAGAGCCCACTTTCTAAACTAAAAAAGCTAAAAAAGCCAGTTACTACCGATTCCCACAGCCATGTTACAGCTGTGGGCGTGAGCATGCAGCTCAGCGGGGCCATGAAGCCAAAGGGCAAGAATGCCTCCCCCATAGAGGATCCTATGAGAAATGCTCACCTTCCTATACTTCAACAGTTTTCTGAGGACATGATATCGACATCTGTAGAACTTGATGATGTGGTAGTGCTGCTGAACTAATCTTATTAGGCTTCTTACTACAGACTTCTTATTCTGAGATATGATAAAAACCAATATTTAGGTCATTTAAAGTCTGTTATTTCCAGCCCAAAGCATCCCAGCTGATAGTCAGCACTAAAGAAAAATATATATACACCTTTAACAACGACTACCATGGCAAAATCAAAAAACAAAAAGCTGGAACTGAGTTACTAGCTCTCAAGCACAAATAAAAATCTAATGCCCTAAGGTACCACTACATATATAGAAAAATCAATATGGGACATCCTTGGGAGAAATGAGAAACAAGTCAGTCAAGTCATTTTCTGTGGGAACCGCAGTTGAGAAAGCACTGATACTGACACACTGCCTCACTGCTCCACTTCTCTGAAACCACACTTGATCTCATTTTCTCAGATGAGAAACCCCCAACCGGTAACTAATGGCTAAAGCCAGAGACTGCTGCTGCCTATAGACAGCCTTAGGGAAAATGCTAAACAGTGTTACATTTGGGGTTGGCAACTGATTAGTAATATAAGGTACACAGAAGGGGGCAGGGATTCATTCAGTATTCTGGATTGAAGCTTTGGATCTTCAGCATTTGGGGTTAGCAGATTCTGGCCCCTACCTAGCCAGTCTTCCAGAAAGCTGTTGTGAGCCTCTGAAGGCAGAGGCCTCCAGGAGCCAGCCTTGGAGAGGACAGGTTCAGAGGCTTTGCAATGAGCGGAGCAACTGAAACTGTTCCTGTTTTTGCTGCAGTGACACAGCCTGGCAGGGAAGATGAAGACCCTGGGCCGGGCACCTTGCTAAGCTCAGTCAGTGTGGCCCTTTGTTGGGTCATTGCGGTCTTAAGTCTGCTTGTCTGGTGCTGCGCTAGGACATCCTCGCAGCAATGGGAGCATCTCCTGTTGTCTCCATGGTTGAAACCTGGCCTATAGTCTGGCTGCCTCATGCTCCAGGTAAGCAGTGGCAGGAAAATGCCATCTTGGACACAATACAGGGCCTGTTGTTCAGGAGAGGGGCTTTGTGTCCTCAGTGGTGGGAAGATGCCAATTTAGCTGCTTTTGTTTAAGACCGAAAACCACTACACACTGCTTCAGGTGAGGTCAAGACTGTTTTTTTGGCCTTAGTTAACTTTGTTTTTTCCTGGTTTGTTAAATAAATCCCATTGTTGTAGTTTCCTGGGGAGTCTTGCAATTGTGTGCGCATGTTAAAAAACTCAGGTAGTGACTGGTAAACTATGTGGGCAATGCTGTTGGTCAGTTTTAGTGCCCCTTGCTGCCCTGTATCACCCCCACAAAAAAGAAAACCAAAAACCTGTACCTAACCCACTATATACTGGCAAGTATAGAAAGTCACACTTACAGTTCTTCTTAAATATTTTATTTCTCCAAGATGACTCATTTAACATCACCCATTCTGTTTTCTGTAACATGTATTTTAGCTAATGAAACTTGTTTTTCCTTTTATTGTTTTCCCACCACCTACTCTTTTGACACTTTCTCCCTCCTATCTCAACTCTCAAACCCAGAAACCTCACTCCAGTTAACAATGTCTCCTGGTTCTTTTTAGTGTTTTACCTTTTTCTTTACTTCTATTCCTATATTCTAACCTTTAAGTCTTGAAGACAAAATGGGCATCAGGCTTCTGAAAATCAAAGGTTCAAAATTTTAACTCTGGTGGTACAAGGAGGTAAGTCTCAGCATGAATTGCTCAGCAATGTTTCAGTCAATATGCCTGCTCTGTTCCTGACTCTGTCTCAAGTGAATCCTCTCATCCCTCCCCCACCACATCTCTGGCCTGTTCCCCAGTTGTATCCATACATAAATCTGAAATCTAGCTCAGCAATTTTCTAGATTTGAGGCCTTGGCCAAGTTCTCTTGTCTTAACCTCACTTATTTATAAAATAAGAAAAAAAAAAAAGTCCCTCAAATCTTTTGTCTGATGAACATGAATTGAAATAATTCCATTATATGTAAGACTTACTGTATTACTTGGTTATATGAGTGATAAATGATGTATGTGATATGCCTGGCACCATGCAGGGCACAGTAAGCAAAAGATGGTAGCTTTTATTACTACACACTCATCTTCCAGAAGATGCAGGTGAAAAAAGCTATCATAAGGTAGGTATGTGTGAAGCTTTTGTCTACTCAATTAAATAGCCCTCAAAGCTTATATACTTAATTTTCCAGATTCACTCAAAGCAAGAGAAAGCAGAAATGGAATGAACCAGAAGGTCAATGGTGGTGGGTGAGAAAAAACAGAACAGGGTGTGGAGGCTAGAAAGGGGAATGAAGAAATTTTATGAGATGCTGGACAAATTTCTAATCATATTTTGATAACCGATTGTTTTAAGGTTACAAGAGTGTAACCTTATGTGTTTTTGTACATTTAACCCCACATAAACCTTGCCTATAAGAACGATAAAAACCTCTAATGTGAGCCTAACTGCTCCTGGGATAAAGCATACTAAGGCCTGCATTTCTTAAAAGGTGATCTGATAAAAGACAAACGGATATAACAAATATCGCAAAATATTAACAGCTTCGTAGAATATAAGTGGTGGCTATATGGGTGTTCAGTTGTACAAGTCTCCGGGTTTTTTTTTTGTTGTTGTTGTTCCAAAGTTTCCACAATACAAAGTGTGGATTTTTTTTTTTTTAAAGATTTATTTATTTGTACATACAGAACTGGGGTACAGGCCAGAGGCTCAGGGGCGGTGAGAGGCTTCACCAGAGACAGAGTGGGGAGCAGAACAGGCAGATCAACGAAGTACACTGCTGAGGGGAGCAGCGGGCGGGTCAGGAGAGGTCTGCCACGCCATGTGGTCACCTCCGGGGCAGGCGGGAATTGAACTCATGCGGAAGTGGCTTTAGCTTCTCTGTTGCAGTGCTTTAACCCGCTGCGCCACCAGGGAGGGCCCCAAAGTGTGGATTTTAAAAACAAACACTGCAAGAAGGCCAAAAAGGCAACTGAAAAGCAGGTTCCTTGGGCAGGCCTTTCCTGACCACATTCCCTGACCACTCACAAAAACTCCTCAGCACTGCCACCACTTCCCACCCAAGCTCAGGCGGCGCTACAGTATGCAGGCAGCTGCGCGCGGCCTCCCCGTCAGCCTCCGGCTCGCCTGGTCTCAGTCCAAGCCCAGCACACAATCCATCACCCGGATCCCAGACTGTGAACTCAGATTGCGCAGTGGTCTCATCATCATCGACCAGGGTTTCCAGTGGCAGCTGCAGAGGGCTCCCTGTCTCCCTCACCTCTAGCCTAACCCTTATTCCCCACCCCAAGTCCCCTGACCCCACTTCGCCACATTTTCTTAATCCTTTCAGGCTCCCGGCTAGAGGCAGCAGCACTGCCAGCCGTGGGGCCCGATCATATAAGGAAAATATTGCAGGCTCATTGGGGGTAGTGTTGGGGACCAGGGGCACCCAGCTCTACACTTGCCCTCACCTTACACCCACCGCCCCCACACCCAGCACCCTACACCAACCTCCCGGCCCTCTACTCCCAGCCCTGTGCCCAGAGGTTCTGGCCAGCCGGACCGCACCCAGGTCTGCGCAGCCGCAGTGGCCAGCTCCGAGAGCGGCCCAATCCCCTCGCACGCCGCGAGAGCTGCCAGCCAATCCCCTCACACGCCGCGAGAGCTGCCAGCCAATGCCCTTGCGCCCCCTCCTGCCGTCCCTCCGCTTCCTGCAGAAGCCAACTGGCGGTCCCCACGCCAACTTGCACCGCCATCTCACCCCTGCGCCCTCCACGCCGCACCCGGCAGCTAGCACCGCCTAGTCAAATGTTTAACAAAATCCTACCAAAATCTACAGGGGTTGGGGGGCTGAAATGGGAACTAGGGTACCAGCTGGTTGGGGGAGAGGAGGGGGCCCAGGGATAGGATGGACAGGGTAGAATTAAATCATTCTCTCCATGTCAGGATACCAGAAGAAAGTCCACAGGCAAACAAAGTCTGCTCTCTTCTGCGCGGCCGCCCCTTGGGGAGAGTTATGGTGCTTTCGGTCCCCCCAGGGAATGGCGTGAAGAGGGCAGGCTCCTCCGAAAGGGTCACAATCCTTAGGCCGCCGCAGGGATGGGAGGGGAGGCGGAGTAGGTGAAAGGTTGGGGGCGTGGCCTGGCTGAGGCCGCCGTCTACTTAAGGTCTGGGTGTGGACTGGGGCCCCTTTGTCTCTGTCCCTGAAGCCCTGCTGCTGTCCTGCTCCGCAGCCATGGCCCTGCTCCGAGGTGAGCTAGCGCCGCGGCCCCACCTCTCCTCACCCCTCTACAAGTAGGCCCAGGTCGTGTCCGAGACTCAGCGGCAATAAAGAGGCCTCGGTAAAACCCCAAGCTGAAAGGATTCTTTGGCTTTGGGGAAAACCTACTTGCAAGGAACAGTGAAGTCGGTGGAGCTTCCTGCAGAATCCAGATTCGCTCATGACCTTGGAAGTCATATACCCTGCCGCAGTAATGACCCACCTTGCTTCGCTCAACTCTGGAAAAGTAGGGTGGGGACAGAAGCGAGAGGGCCTGGGGCAGGCAGGGTGCATCACAGGATTATAGCACTGCTGCTTTTGACTAGGTCCCAGGGTGGGCTGGGCTGCTGGAGGGGGGTTCTGTTCCAAATGCTTTCTGGCTTACTGTGAAAAAGATTAGTCTTACTCCCTTTCCCACTTCCGCAGTTTGACTTTGACTCCAAAATGTACATAAATTCTAGGATTCTTAATCTTTTACTTTTATTATGCAAAGTGCCTTCTCAGTGTAACAAATGGTCACAAGTGATGGCATTTTTAATTTTTAAGGAACAAGAACCACCCCAATTTCCCAGTACTTCATTAGCAGCAAACAAATACTAGTTTTCTTACTGCTCATTAACTGTCTTGGGGGTGTTTGTATATCCCTGTCAGGCAGGTAAGCAGGGCTGCCAGATTACTTAATCCTGAAACTGGAGTGATATTAACAACAGCTTTTCTTCATTTGCTTGGATCCTTTTGTCATTACTGATAGTTCAATGAGTAAATATTTGTCTAACAATATGACATAGAAGACAGTTTCACTGTTTCTCTTCTAGTGTTTTCCCTTTAAATAATCACATGGGCACACTGCCTCACAATTATTTTATGGTGTTGACACACTTAGGGATTGATGTCTTTTTGCTGTTTGCAACTTTGAAATCTTTAGCCTCTTGAAATAGACATTTTAGTTTACTGTAAGCGAGTGTAGACCTTTTAACATAAAACTGACATGAGATCAAATCAAATTGGCATGGCGTCCAGTTTATGGAATCACAAGGAAAATCGTTTTTAAATTGTCTAGTCTTTTTACCTGCATATCTTAAATTATTTCTTAAAATATATTTGATAGCATTTTCCCCATTCAGCATAACTGTATTAGTTCAGCATTAGATTAACCAACATTTACAGCACCAAGTAGGCAGAAGGTGGTATCAGCTGTAGGAGCATTCTTACTCTTGTTTTTATATTTCAGCCTACACTCACTTGTAAACATTCCATATCTCATTAGCACTGCTTCAACAAAAAATGCTTTCTTAGATTCTAAGGACAGAAGAGAAATTCATAAGAAGAGGAATTTATGGAAAAACATGAAATTAGACTTCATTGTTTTCCATAAGTCAATAGTCTTTAAATCATTTCCCTGTAAATAACAAGTCATTTTTTCTGACTTTTAAGATTTTACCTTTAGTTTGCAGAAGCTTGAGGATGATGTGCCAAGGGGGTGGGTGCTGTGTATGAACATTAATATTGTTGAAATTTTACTGAATCTATACCTTTTCTCAGTTTGGAGAATTTCAACTATTTTTTCCTTTTATACATGTATACATGTACATACATATATACATGTATGTACATATATGTATACATAAAAGAAATGTGTATGCGCCTACATATTCTTCCTTTCCATCACACCCAATTACGTTTTTGTTCTTGGGGTTCTGCCCATATGTTTTTTTCTACCTGTTTCTTCAAGTTGTTTTGAGCAGTTTTTAGTTTACAGAAAGACTGAGCAGACAACACAGAATTCCCATGTGCCCCCCTCACCTCTCAGGCCCAGGATCCCCTACTATTCATGTTTGCATTAGTGTAGTGCACTTGTTACTAGTGACTAGCCAAAACTGATACATTGTTAACTAAAATCCATAGTTTACAATAAGACTTTTTTTAAAGTTCTGTGCATTCTGACAAAGGTGTAATGACATGCATCTACCATTACAATATCATTTGAGAAGTTTCACTGACCAAAAATTGCCTTATGCTTTACCTATTCTTCCCTCCTTCTCCTCAACTCCTAGTAACAACTAGCCTTTTTACTGTTGCCGTTCCTGGATGTCATGTAGTTAGAATCATATAGTATGTAGCTTTTTCAGATTGGCTTCTAGGTGCCAACTTATTGGTATTGGTCAAGCTAGGAAACCTGAAGCTAGCTTCTACCAGTATGACCCATCCAAGTATTACATGACAGACTGAGTAATCTAATTGAAAAGTGCCCTTTACAATAAGATTCCACATTATTTCAAGCGTATTAGGAATACCAACTAACCTGTAATTGCTTGCAAACCTCACCTCTTTGCAATAGGTGTATTCATTGTTGCTGCTAAGCGAACACCATTTGGAGCTTATGGAGGGCTCCTCAAAGACTTCACAGCTACTGACTTGACTGAATTTGCTGCCAAGGCTGCCTTGACTGCTGGGAAAGTCTCACCTGAAACTATTGACAGTGTCATCGTAGGCAATGTCATGCAGGTTAGTTGGGCAAGGGGGAGGGACTAATTCCTGTTGCTTTTTGCATTCGTTTTAAAAAATAATTCCTTTTACATGTTATAGTGGTAAACTAGTTAATAGTTAAAAGGGTATTTATAATTTGAGTAGTTCTCTGACTCTAGAAGCAATGGCATACATAATTCAATGCAACATATAGTGAAGAAACTATAGCTACCTGATTTGGAATACAGTTCATTGCTGTTAAACAGCAGTTATTTTCTAGTTATTTGGAATAGGTATAAATTTCCTGTTGATTTGGAGTTTACTGATGCAGTGTGGTCCCTGAATAGGGTAGCAGTAAAGCCCACAATTTCTTACAACAGGAGTGTGTTAAGTTCTCATGAATTTTATTCACAGTATTTTTGTCAAAGTCATCAATATATAACCTTGCATATGCATTTATGTGGTTAAAGACAGCTTATTAAATATATGTTACTGACTGATTAGCATTCAGTTCACAGCCAGTAGCACTATAATGCCCAAGTGAAGTTATCACATATCTGTTTTCTCCTTCAGGCACATCACAACCTTCTTACACTCAGGGACCCAGACAGCACTTCCGTCTTACATTTGGAGACCATTTCAAATAGCGGTCACCAATGTAAAGCATAAAAATGGAGAAAGCCTGACACTGAACAAACTGCAAGAAGTATGAGAACTGAAGCAAGATGTAGAGTGTCGTCTTATTTTATCCTCAGATAGGACAGTACAAAGTACATATTGGGCAACTAAAATGTCTTCATTCAGCACATGACCACAAAGGCACTAAAAATGCTACAGATACAGTTTAGCAAGTGGGCAAATTTCCAAAAATGGAGTCCAATAATATTGAGAATCAGCTGTGTTTCTGACTTATATATATATATACCCTGCCTATTTTGAGAGGTTTTAAAGTTCTCAGTATTAAAGGGTCTTATATATTCCTTTCTAGGAAATTCTTAACATAAAGGTAGTTTGATAATGAGGAATAATTAGGAACTTTTTTAAAAGTAGGTTCTAAGTAAGATTTATGGAATCTTAAAGAGCTGGAAGAACCCCTAGAAGTTTTATAGAATTCCAGAGTTCCCCTAACACATGAGGAGACCTCCAGAGAAGTTGCAGAGACTTGCCCAGTTCGACCCAGGTGATCTGTAAAAAGTCTTGGACTAGAATGCCAATTTCCTGACTTCTAGTCAGTAATCTTCTTGTACTAATTAAATAAGCTTCCCAACACAACTCCTCACATTAAAATGGACTTAAAATCATTTAACTGAAGCACTTAGAGAAGGCGCAAACAAAAAAAAAGGAAAAATACCAATTACTTTTAGAAAACAGTAGCCAACGTAGGAGATACCTGGTTTATGTGTATCAGGTAGGAGGACATTCAAAATACATACAAGAAAGAATGTGTTATGGTTGAATAATGAGTTTCTGGAGCACTTTATAACCACTCAGGTCAGGATCTAACAACTCCCATCAAATTACAACACCCCTTTCATTTATAAATGAGGCTCTCACAAACCAACTTGTAGATAATGTCCAAAAGGAGAGGCTTGAGAGTTAGATAATCCAGAGTTCACACTGCTAGTTGAATGACAAAGTCTAGATTCCAATCCAGATCTGCTAACTAGCCTAATGTTTTTCTCATTACCTCAAATTACTGCTTAATTTCATAAAATCTACTCTATCAATCCAGACATTAAGGAGTAGCATAAAAGAAATTCAAAGCAGAAAACCCTAGCAGAAAAATACCATTTACCTTTTGCAATCCTTTTGATTGCATTAATTCACAAAATGTCATCCCAATCAACAAATTTTGTTAAAAATAGAATTCAGAAAAAAAAAATAGAATTCAGACTTGTGAGAGCTAATTGGCTTATTAATGAATAATGAATTGAATTGGTCAGCGTCCCATCTCAGGTGCTGCCAGTCTCACACAAAATGGAGAGTTTTTATAGATGGTAAAAGTCAAAGCGAGATTATTAGCAAAAGATTTCAGATAAAACTATGTTCCTTTAGGGATGTGGGGGGAGGGGGGCGTGGAGGAGGTGGTCTTAATGCAAATGACTGTGCTGATGCAGATCTAGTGATAGAAACTCCACATTGAAGAGTTTAGGATTATATTGGGGGGGGGGGACCAATCACGAGTGACTCCCTTATGGACTCCTCCCACTTCCACCTTCAAAAGATGAGAATTTATTGAATTTTAGTTTGAAAAACTTCAAACCTATACAAAAGTTAAAATACTACAATGATGGACCAGTTCTTTACATTTTATCAAATTTGGGTTAGTGCTCTACATAATAAAAGGTGTTACTTGTTTTAAGTCATTTTATTCCTTCTCACTCAGTATGTGGTCTGGGGACCAACAACATTGAATTCATATGAGAAATGACTAGAAGTACAGAGCCCCAGACAGCCCTATGCCTATAGATCAGAACCCACATTTTAACAAGATGCACCAATATTACACAGCAACAGTAATCAAAATAGCATGACACTGGAACAAAAACAGAAACTCAGACCAATGGAACAAAATTGAAACCTCAGAGATAAATCCATATAAATGTGGACAGCTAATATTTGGCAGACGGATTATAGTCATACAGTGGAGAAATGGGTAGCTTTTTTCATAAATAGTACTGTGAAACATAGGTAGCTACATGCAAAATATAGACCCATATTTAACATCATACACTAAAGTTCACTCAAAATGGATTAAAGATTTGGACATACTACTGAAACCATAAAGTTGAAAGAAAATTTAGGGCAAACACTACAGGACATCTTACCATAAAGGTGTATTTGGGGATAGAACCAGCAGCACAGGAAACAAAAGCACAAATAAGTGGGGCAATATCAGACTCAAAAGTTTTTGTATCTCGTTAGAAACCACCACAAAACAAAAAGGCAACCTACAAAATGTGAAAAGTATTTGCTTACTATCTGATTAGTCTCCAGAGTTTACTAAGTACTTATACAATCCAACAATAGAAACAAATGATCCAAATAAAAAATAAGGAATAAGCTGGCCCTCCCTGGTGGTGCAGCGGGTTAGAGCACAGCACTGAGAAGCTAAAGCCACTTCCCCATGGGTTCGATTCCCGCCTGCCCTGGAGGTGACCACATGGCGTGGCAGACCTCTCCTGACCCGCCCGCTGCTCCCCTCAGCAGCGTACTTCGTCTATCTGCCTGTTCTGCTCTCTGCTTTGTCTCTGGTGATGCCTCTCGCTGCCCCTGGGCCTCTGGCCTGTACCCCAGTTCTGTATAAATAAATAAATAAATAAATCTTTTTAAAAAAAATAAGGAACAAGGACCTCAATAGACACTTCTCTAAAGATGACACTGACATGACCTATAGCATATGAAAGTGTTCAAGGTCACTTGTTCTAAGAGAAAGGAGAATGAAAGCCACACTGAGTCACACCTAGTCACCCCTGTGAGAATGGCCCAAATAAAAAAAGAACACAATTAACAAATGTTGGCAAGGTTTTAGTGAAAAAACACTGTTGGCGGGAATGCAAGCTGGTACAGCTCCTGTGGCAAATGGTATGGAGAGGTCCAAGAAGATGCAAATACAAATCTCATCTGACTCAGCCATGCCACTCTTAGGCATTTTCCAAATCACATGAAAAATTTAGTGTACAAAGATCTGTTTACACCTATGTATACATAGCAATATTGCTTACAATTGTTAAGTCATGGAACCAACCGAGAGCTCTCTACAGATGAATGGATTGAGAAACTGTGGAGCACGTATTCAATGGAATATTAAGTAAACATGAAGGAAGATGAAATGGTGCTTTGGAACAAAATGGACCGACCTTGAGGTGATTGTGTTGAATGAAATCAGTCAAAAAGTGAAAGATTTGGGATAATTTCACTTCTCTACAAAATATAAATATACAAGAAACAATAACATGCAAACAAGAAATAAAAAATGTGATCTCCGTAAAAAAGAAAACAATGGTTACCAGAGAGAACAGGAGAGAGGGAGGGGTAGGGAGGAATGGCACACACATAAATTAAATCATGAGGGTGCAGACTTTTAAGGGCCCCTGGAAATTCAAATGAGACAATACACATGGGAGGGGGGGCAAAATGCCCCCGTGTGCGTTTAATTTTAAACACCACTGCAGGTGGGGGACCAGCCCTCACTATGCATTTAAAGTTTGGGAAGCCGTGGCCTAGTCCCAACTCTCTCCTGACCAGCAATCCTCTCCCCTGCCTACGTCAGCCTTGGTTCCACCAAATGACCCCTGTGCTTTTGCAAGTAACTGCTGATACCCAACCCCTGCCTCCACCCTTTCTAATTTGAACTGGATAGGAGGGGCCTGAGCCATCATCAGTATGTTGATGCTGTTTCTCCCTGACATACTCCAGTGTGTGTGCCCAAGGTTGAAATGCACAGCCTCCATACTTCTATTAAAGAAGATGAAAATCTGATGCAGCCTATTTCATGATTTTTAAACAGCTCCCTCCAATTTAATTCCGTCATATATTAAGGAATTAATGTAAGGATTTCTCAGTATCTATAAGAACCAATTGACCAAATTGCAGTTTTTACTGAAATCATAAGCACGTGTCTTACGTAACTATGCTGTACCTATATGCATCGTGTCATCTTACAGCCAGTTTTTATAATAGCATTCCAACATTTCCATATATTTTTGTCATTAATTCCAAGATTTATAGAGGAGATTCCTTTTCTCTCTGTTCCAGAGTTCTTCAGATGCTGCGTACTTGGCCAGGCATGTTGGGTTACGTGTGGGAGTTCCAAAAGAGACCCCAGCTCTCACTGTGAATAGGCTCTGTGGCTCTGGCTTCCAGTCCATTGTGAGTGGGTGTCAGGTATGGACAAACATTTTGTTTACTTCTCAGAAAATAAGAATGGTTATTATAGGAAATGCTCCTCTCCAATATAAGTGTTTATTTGATAATGCTTATTATTTTAAGAAGTTAGTATTTTATTAGTCTTGGGGAAATATTCACAGGAAGAAAATATTTCTTAAAGCTAATAATGACCCTTGAAATTATGTTAAATAGAATAAGCCATTGTAAAGGATGATTCCACTTGAACTCAATACCTACAATAGTCAGATTCATGGAGACAGAAAGTAAAATGGTGGTTGGCCTGAGGAGAAAATGGGAGTTTAATATGTGTGGAGTTTCAGGAGGTAAAAGGAATCGAAGGTAGATAGTGGCTGACTACACAAGGTGAATGTACTTAATAACTACAGACACTTAAAAATTATTAGATTTATGAATTTTAGATGACACTTTTTCAGTTTTTTTGAAAGTAATCATGACCTTCAATTTTATTGATTGCTTCCTATGTGCCAGCATTCAGTGCTTTACTTGCTCTTTACAACCATCCTATGAGAAAAGAGCTATTATTCCAGTTTTCACGCAAGAAAAGTGATATTAAAATATATTAATGTACTAAGTCAGAGGGGCAGAATTAGAAATACTGAATAAAAATAATGCAAGAAAAGGGCGTGAGATTCTAGGGGATGTTAATAACTTTATTTTACTACAAAGAAACTGAATGATACTCTTGGTGTATAAACTAGCATGCCTGACCACTTCAAAGGCTACTTTGGCAAGTATATCTGTTCCCTTGAGCACAGAGAAAAGGATTATAGTAAAATCCAATTTTGTTAGTCTTCATTTTATTTCAAAATAGACATAATGACTTTTTTTTTTTCATTTATTCAGTGTTTTTACATTTCTCTAAAGACTTATCTTAATGAACTTGATTTTCCTAGCAATTATTTTTAACATAGGCTTTTGGGGCTTAATATTTGCTTCTTTTCTGATACAGATAGTGGAAAGAGAAAAAGGAAGTGGGTTCATTTTTATAAGTCCCCTGAGTTCTTATAAACCCCTTTCACATTCATTCATTAGCAGGAGAAATTTTACTTTTGACTTTTTAAAGGGTCTGTTCTTCATTACCTGCTGGCAATATCCACCTCTATACCAGACATTAAGATTCATATTAAATTAAGAAATACCATTAAAGTCTGTTAGCCACCCCCCATCTTAGGAATGGGTTCTCGAGCACTTACTCTACCTTTACTTCAATAACAGTATTTCCTTTTTAGACACTGTAAACTAGGATACATTACTTGTTAGATTTACTCTTTGCTTAATACATAGTTTTAAATAAACACTTCCCTTTTTAATAGTTTTTGTTGGTCATTTACCTTTAATTAGGAAATCTGTGTTAAAGATGCTGAAGTGGTCTTGTGTGGAGGAACAGAAAGCATGAGCCAAGCTCCCTACTGTGTCAGAAACGTGCGTTTTGGAACCAAGTTTGGATTAGATCTTAAGGTTGGAACCTTATTCTTTGTAAATTATTTTTCATGACATTATGCTAATAATTTTAATACCACTTCGGGGAAAAGAAAATTAACTTCAAAACCAATTTGTTAAGAGGGTGTTAACACTGGCAAGAAACTTGAAATCTGTAACTCTTCCAAAACTCTTTTGTGATTGTTTTGACATTTTAAGCCACATAAAATTAGGATTTACCTCAGCACACCTCTAGTAATATCTGGGGAGATGACGGAAGACAGGTTGAGTTAATCTTGCTACTAAATCAGTAAAGCAAGTAATTAAACCTATACCCATGATTTATGAAGATTCAGATCTGAGAAAATCTCTGGAAAGACAAGTCACTGATTCAGAGTAACAAGCAGTCTAGAAGAAACAGCACACTTCCCAGAGACTGACTATATAATTTCCTGTCACTCAGGGAGCCTGTCCCTGGTCCTTTTCAACCTGGTAGGATCTTAGAGAGGCCCCATCAGCGAGGGCGAGGTAGGAGAGAGGAGCACCGATGCACTCTCCTACAAAGCTCCCGCTGTGGTGGCAGAGGGGAAACAGCACAGGAGCTCAGGCTTGGGTTTCTCACGGTAGTGACCTTAAAGGGCTCATCTTCGGCGGCAGCCTAGCCCCTAGCTTCACTTTGCACATCTAGCACAGTGCTGCCCTCCCTGGAGCGCCCATTCGAGAGAGCAATGTGCTCTTCACTACGGTGTTGAGTGCTTTTTATAAACAACTCCAGTAGCAAGTATGAACATGAGTAACAGCAAATGATTATCAGGAAATCTAATTTTACTTTTGTTTACTGGAACTGTTAACCATTTAAATTTAAAGAAATTATAGCACATTACTTTCAAAACATATGCCCTAACAGATTTATTAATATCTTTTAATAGCTGGAAGATACTCTGTGGGCAGGATTAACAGATCAGCACATCCAACTCCCCATGGGAATTACCGCAGAGAATCTTGCTTCAAAACATAAAATAAGCAGAGAAGACTGCGACAAATACGCCCTGCAGTCACAGCAGAGGTGGAAAGCTGGTCAGTGACATTGACTTTTATAACTATCTCTAGGGCAAAACCCATAGGAAACTTTTAGCATTCCGTATGTATTACCTTAAAATTACACCTTTTGAGAGTCATTTTTTCAACCATGTCTTTGTTTTTAGATGATCAGATATCCTATTCATAATCACAAAAATAATCAGTAATTACAAAATTTCTCTTTTGAAATATGTTAAGATAACTTAGAGAGTATTCCTGTTAACTGATCCTGTTTGAACACTTGAACTTTGTCCCAGACTGACCCGGCTGTCTACGGAACACTGGTTAGGATCCAGTCCATAAGCGGTGATAGGTCCTGGGGTAACTGGACCGCAAGGACCCCCTCCTGTGCGGCATGCTGTATTCACAAGGAGGGGGCGTTATGACTGGAAATCCCCAGGCTCTTACCCTCCCATTCCTGAGAATCATTGCACCAACTCAGACCTGCAAGTCCAGGTCTTGGTTCCAGTGCCCTTGCATGGCATGCATGTGCTGTGCCCGGTGCCAGAGGAGCAGTCAAGTGGTCGTCCCTGGATCAGCATGGTTAGTGGGGGAAATTCATTAAAATTAAGCTGTTAATAACAGTTAGTATCCCTTTCTTAGAGGTATTAATAAAGACTTGGATGCAGCTCTCCTGCCCACCTGGGACTGTGCAGGTGCCTCTTTTTTCCTTGTAAACCTATCCTCTGAAAACATAGAAGAAAAGATGGGGGATAACGTCCATCTGACTTCAGAAGGATAAGTGGAATGGAGCTGAAGACATCTAATCCATGTTTCTAATCATTCATTACAGTGGAAGGATGTTGATGGGGTCAGAGAGTATCTGTTCTGTTTCTAATTTTGCCACATAAAGTTATCTGACTTCAGTAAAGTCATTTGTTCACTGAGCTATCTGTAAAATAAGTATTTCTAACACTAGAGATAAAGAGGACTTGCTTTTTCTATTAATAGAGTTGTTCTAAAAACCAAGTGAGTGTTTAGCCTGCTATAAGGTGATACCAAATGAAGGTGGTGTTACTCCTAATGTGTCCTGTTCTGAAGCTTTAGATTTACTACAGTCCATTATAAACATTGGGGGCAGAAGTAGGTAAGCTGTTTTCCTTAGGATTCATCAGTAATAAATCTCATACTATCTTAAGGTTGCCTGTCATTAAATTTCAGCCGTAGATTACTTGGTGACATGACAACTCAGTATATTTTTTTCTTATTGTGATTAAAGCACTTAATATGAATTCTGATCTCTTGAATTTTTTAAAAAGATCTATTTACTTATGCATACTGGGGTATAGGCCAGAGGTGCAGGGGCAGTGAGGATCCACCAGAGACAGAGTGGGGAGCAGAACAGGCAGATGGATGAAGTACACTGCTAAGGGGAGCAGCGGGCCGGTCTGGAGAGGTCTGCAGCACCATGTGGGTCACCTCCAGGGCAGGAATGAAACTCATGCAGAAGTGGCTTTAGCTTCTTTAGTGCTGTGCTTTAACCTGATGCGCCATCAGGGAGGGCCCCATCTCTTGAATTTTTAAGTCTACAGTACACTATTGCTGACTATAGATGCAACTTGGTAGCCTTAAAATTACTTATTCCCTCACCCAGAGAAGTTTTAAAAAGGGCATTAAATCCATTTAGTGCCATTACATTTGTAATGTAACAGGCAACTACTACCAACAGTCTGGCAGCACCTTGTCAGGACAAAGTGTAGTAAAAATAAAAATTGTAATTTAAAAAGGTGCAGAGTCCATCTGCATAGCTGTATAGAGTATAGTAAATCCTCCAATAAGCAAAATAAGTAATATAAATTTTAAAAGTTCTTATTAACGTGCACTCTGAGGCTAGGCAGAACAGAAGTTAAGTGGAGGATATGTTTGATTTCATTTATTTCTTTTTCCCCACTCTCATGATCGTCTTTCTGCTGTTTCAGCTAATGATGCTGGCTATTTTAATAGTGAGATGGCACCAATTGAAGTGAAGACCAAGAAAGGAAAACAGACAATGCAAGTAGATGAGCATGCACGACCCCAGACCACCCTGGAACAGTTAAATAAACTTCCTCCGGTATTCAAGAAGGAAGGGACCGTCACTGCAGGGAATGCGTCGGTACGTGGCGCCGCAGGGGCCTTGAACGCTTCCTGATTGTTCAGCGCGAAGTTGTCACACATTATCTTTTCGATACTTTTCATGCCAGACTTAAGCCAGTAGTGTTCATAATCCATTAAATTGGGTCTGCACAGCCCAAAACAAAACATTTTCATTAGGGGCCTTTATGTGATAATCTTCAGATTTTTAATCTTTCCAGAATTTTAGGCTATCTGCCTGGTTTATTCCAGGTTTCTTTTTTTTTTTTCCCCTCATATATCCATCTCAACAGATTTCATCCTTTATCAGCTACCTCTGGATATAAGCTTTTCCTTGATAGCCTTTCCTATGCTAAGGTCATACAAGCTAGGCGAAAGTCTGTGCCTGAAACAGTATCTAGCCCTTGGCACGCCACAAGAACTCCTGTTTCCCAAATTATGGCGCCGCTTCCTGTGGCTGTCATAGTCCTGCTGCTACTCCATTAGTTCCAGTCTTGATTAGCCAGAGCTTCTGCCATCTAGACAACTTTCTGTTTGTTTCCAGGGAGTATCTGACGGTGCTGGAGCTGTTATCATAGCCAGTGAAGATGCTGTAAAGAAACATAACTTCACACCACTGGCCAGAATTGTGGGTCATTTTGTGTCTGGATGTGACCCCTCTATTATGGGTATTGGTAAGTTTAGAGCAAAAATTGATTCTGTTGTATTTCTCACATAAATCATTTTAGGCAGAGTCCTGAAAAAGCAACCAAGTCAAGGTCACTTATAAAGAGAATGGTAGTAAGTCATTTAAACAACTCAGCATCACCAGGCATAACAGGAAGACCAAGGCTGTGAATTCCTTATGGGCAACAGTCATGTCTTACTGTCCTCTTGAGACAATTTAAATTAGTGCACAGAAAATAACAAGATTACACAGTACTAACAAGATGAAAGTATGAAATGGGAAAAGCCAGAGGGCAGAATAGAGAAGCTTGTGTGGAGAAGATGAAGAACACATGGTCATTGATGCATCTCAATTCAGTCTTCCCACAACTCTGAGAAGTCTTAATGAATGAGAAAATCTAGGCATGCTGCCTGGTAAATGTCCAAAGCAATAAATGATGGGGCCAGGATGTGAATTCAGGTCTCCAGAGCAATAAATGAAGCCATGATGTGAATTTTAGGTCTCTTAACTCCAGTCTCTTTCCACTGTGTTATCTGAGGAAATCAAAATAATAGTCACTGGCTTACCTGAGATTTATAGGAAAATGAAATATTAAAAAGTGTGTCTCAATTGGCAAGATGCTAGCAGGAGAAATTACCTATGAGAAAAAATTTGGAACTCCTTGTGAACATGTATGATCTCAACTTGAAAGTTATGAATTAGGAGAATGAAAAGCTTTCTAGAACTACAGATGATGCTGATTTTTTTTGTAAGGTTTATTTATTTATACATACAGAGCTGGGGTACAGGCCAGACCTGTGAGACGATTCACCAGAGACAGAGTGGGGAGCAGAGCAGGCCGACTGAGAAGTACACTGCTGAGGGGAGCAGCAGGCAGGTCAGGAGAGGTCTGCCGAGCTATGTGGATCACCTCTAGGGCGGGGATCAAACTCATGCTGAAATGGCTTTAGCTTAATGCTGTGCTTTAATCCACTGTGACACCAGGGAGGGCCCTGATGCTGAATTTTAATAGTTCCTCATTGTTCTGTAGGAAGTGCATCAGATGAATAAACTGAGGAGAACAGGCTGAGCATCTGGTAAAGATTGGTTTGTCAACCAGTTCTTCCTCAGTTACTATTACCAGTGAAGTGCAACTCATAGATGTAGAGTTGCTTGCACACCCAGAAATTGTGGTGATGGTGGGGGTGGGGGGGTTGTGGGTAAGAGGTGGGGGAAAAGTTGGGAGTATATGAAAGCAGGTACTTGAAGGAACAGTAATGACTCCTAAGGACGACGTATGTTTTTCCCCAGCCAGAATAGTTTACCCTCTTGAGTGTCAGTAAATAAAGTAGTATGGTGAAAAATCCATTAAAAATCTAATTGTGACCTAGCATATCATTACAATTGTCTATTAAGAATTCTGAGTTTACGTACACACAATGAGTCATGTTTCCTGTCATCATGAAGACAGGGAAGTATAGACACTATACAGTGGTTTTACACCTCAGCTTTTAGTTCTTTGACCCTGTAGGGTACTACAGACTCTGACCATGCTGGGTAACTGGTGCTCTGCTACTGACTCTGCATCCCATTTTAACACCCTGGAGAAACAAAGCAGCTGGAATTCAATTCTGTGTTAAATCAGTAGCCAGTGCAGAACTGGTGCTTTTCCCTTTAACACATTAACTGGACCTCCCTAACCAATGAACACATTGGTGTCCAAAGAACTTTTTAACTTATCAATGAAAGTAATCACATTAAGTTTAGGTTTCACTTTTTTTTTATTAAAAAGACTGATCCTCATTTTACCTTAGGTATATTTAGAAAACATGGAACATTTAATTACTTGAATTTAACAGAACATACCACATTTACTTAGTAATAATAGTGGGTATTATTCTCTAGCCAATACCAATTTATTAAAAATTATGAACAATAGGGCTCTCCCTGGTGGCACAGCAGGTTAAAGCACAGCACTAAGAAGCTAAAGCCACTTCAGCATGAATTCGATCTCCACCCCAGAGGTGATCCACATGGCACAGCAGACCTCTCCTGACTCGCCCTCTGCTCCCCTCAGCAGTGTGCTTCGTCAATCTGCCTGTTCTGCTCCCCACTGTCTCTGGTGAATCTTCTCACCGCCCCTGCACCTCTGGCCTGTACCCCAGTTCTCTATGATAATAAATCTTTTTTTAAAATTATAATATTAAACTGCTGTTAGTAATCAGAAATCTGAGAGCTAACATTTCAGAATCTTATTAGGTAGCTAGCATTTCTTTGGTAGGGATTATGTTTATATAAATTCCCTGTCAAACATCATGTGATAAACATCCCCTTACTTCAGCTATCTTTTCCCTGAAGTCCGTGAAGCTTCCTGGCATGCTGTACTTACATGGAGATGCTATTTCTTGCCTTTTGTCCAAGTGGGCCTGAGAGTTCATAGTGTAGTGACGGCCACAGCTCTATCGTTTGTGTCCTAGGAGAGCATGAGCCTGCCTTGCTATCTGATACGCAATCTGGTTTATAAGTGACTACAAAAATCCCGGATGTGACTCCTTGGTTATTTGCCCTCAAGGCACTATTTTTGGTAGATTTTTACATGTAAATTTCTTAATTGCACTTTGACTGCATAAACAGCTTATCACTTGGTCCCATGTTCTCTATCTTTATTGTCACATCAAAGACACTGGGGTGTCAGGTTAGCAAGATCTATGGTTACTAATAATTGCCACATTATTTCCTTCTTACTTGCCTATTTAGAAAAGCAGCAAAAATTTATACATAAATAAATACAAAAGGAAACTTTGATTTTTTTCTTTGTATTAGGTCCTGTTCCTGCTATCACTGGGGCACTGAAGAAAACAGGACTGAGTCTTAAAGACATGGACTTGGTGGAGGTAAGGGTTTTATCTTTTATAACATGAGTAAAACCATAGCACGTGTCACTTTACTTTGCTGTTTTATAGCTTTTTTTTTTTTTTTTTTAAGATTTACTTATTTGTGCATACAGAACCAGGGTACAGGCCAGAGGCTCAGGGGCGGTGAGTGGGGAGCAGAACAGGCAGATCGATGAAGTACACTGCTGAGGGGAGCAGCGGGCGGGTCAGGAGAGGTCTGCCACGCCATGTGGTCACCTCCGGGGCAGGCGGGAATCGAACTCATGCTGAAGTGGCTTTAGCTTCTCAGTGTTGTGCTTTAACCAGCTGTGCCACCAGGGAGGGCCTATAGCTTTTTTTTTTTTTTTAGTACCACTAATTAACCTTTGTAAGTGCTGTTCATCTAAGTTCATATTACTTTCATTATATGCCTTGCGTTGGTACTTTCCCTGACCAGATTAAGACACTTACTACTTTAATAATAAAAACAAGTTGGCATCTCCTAGAATATAAATTCCTAGAAACTTCTAATCTGTAATACTCCATTATATTTTAGACTGTTAATGTGGTTATTGAATTGAGTATTACGTAAGTTGGGTAAGAAATAGCTTTAACCTAGTTTTATGAATTAAAGTAAAAAAAAATACAGATAAAAACAGAAATTGATCTAGTAGACAGTATCTGATGCCAAATCTAAACGTTTCCTGCCTTCCAACCAAGTTGAAACCCTGTCCCTCCCTTACTACTTTTTACTCACGATTCTTGGCTTCTGCACCATAGTTGTGGTTTGATTTGAACACACTAATCATAACTTGGAATGGTAAATTTATTGGTAGTTTTTTTTTCAAATGTTGGTTTAGGCCAGAATCATCTCAAGTACTAGCACAATTTAAAAAAGAGAAGGAATGAAAAGTACTTAAAGATGGATTATATATATTCTGCATTTGGAAGTATTTGAAAAATGTCAGTAATTAAGCACATGCTGCTTGATATTGGAAAATAACTACTATAACAATGAGATCACTACTTTAATTGACATGTAGAACTCAAATGTGTGATTTCCTTGGTAGTAGTCTCTTGCCCAGCAAAGCAGGATTTCAAATAGTATATCCTTACATCTCTTCTACTATTCTTAACCAGTCAAGGGGGCTGCTTAACTACCATATTTGTAAAAGCAAATAGGTATCTACCACTAGGTTTCTGACTTTACATTTCATACTGAAAACTACTGGAATAAATCAGCTCTCTAGTGGCTTTTTACAGATTTGTATAAACACCTGAGGACATAGCTCTCAAAACACTGGCTTTTGATCCAAAATCAGAAAATGTTACCCTTCCTTAAAATCAGTTTTCTAAAATTATTTTGCTAAGATCACATATAAGCTTGAAGTACGGTCATTCTCACAGCCAGTCTTATAAGTGTAATATAGCAAGACACTTGCAATTCTGCCACAGTTTTCGCATCTAGCGCTCAGTTACCCATCTGGCTCCCAGCGTTTATTCTTTGTCCATTTCTTCTTGGGAGAATGGCTTATAGCACTGGGTAGCAATAGTAATTGCAAGCATAAACTCAGTACTTGCTGTGTGTCAAGTAATACACTAGACATTAACACCTCTAGTGTTATTTAGCCTTGACAAGAACTTGATACTACAGATTTCTACCAGTGAGGACAGCTGAGTGGCAAGAGTGGCAAGAGCCACTCCTCTAGCTCCAGAATCTGGGGTTTTCTGCAGTGGAGGTTATCTGTAGTATTGCCGAGGCTTCCTTCCTCTAGGGGATGCATTTGACTTAAAGTAGCATTTAGTAATTATACCCACTTTCAAACTTTGCAAAGAACTATTGAATGAAAGCAAATGAAAATAGCCTTACAAGATAATTTAAATAGGAAAATAACTGCCAGATTTTAGCAATCGATAGGACTGAACAAGTCTCCTTTAAAAGTCAGTTTAAGGCCCTCCCTGGTGGCGCAGTGGGTTAAAGCACAGCACTAAGAAGCTAAAGCCATTGCAGCACGAGTTCGAATCCTGCCTGCCCCGGAGGTGACCACATGGCATGGCAGACCTCTCATGACCTGACCGCTGCTCCCCTCAAGTGTACTTCGTCAATGTGCCTGTTCTGCTCCCCACTCTGTCTCCGGTGAATCCTCTCGCTGCCCCTGAGCCTCTGGCCTGTACCCCAGTTCTGTATGCATAAATAAATAAATCTTTAAAAAACAAAAAGTCATTTTAAGTGACTTATTAAGTGAATACAGATATTTATCAGTTGTTTTCTTTTTAAGGTAAATGAAGCTTTTGCTCCCCAGTACCTAGCAGTCGAGAAGAGTTTGGACCTTGATCCAAGTAAAACCAATGTTAATGGAGGAGCCATTGCTTTGGGTCACCCGTTGGGAGGATCAGGATCAAGAATTATGGCACACCTGGTTCACGAATTAAGGTACTGGCTAGAAATTGTCATATTTCAGATTTTCACTTGTATGCAGAAATGCAGAGATTAGTCATCCTCAGAATAGGCAACACTTTTCACTATTCCTCCTCATACCCCCCTGGCTTGCTTCTCACCAGGAACAAGTTATTTAGACACCCCTAGCCAGCCAACCTTATAGGTAACCCAGTTATTACTCTCTGCTCTGGGAGGCACACTTCCTTACATTTGGTATGCGCAGCAAGAAGTAATGAGGCCTAGTTCCCATAACTCTTGCCCCTGTATCAATTAAGGGAAGCTAGTTAAGCAAAACAAAACACTGAGAAGGTCCTGAGTAGATAGTGTTATTTAGGAAATGTAATACGCAAGCCAGCAGTTTGGACCTTGGCAAGTTTTTCTTTCACGGTTCTGCGGTTTCAGGAGGAGCCTTCTGTGTATTTAATATTTTCCAGTTTTAATAGAAGAGCTCCTCCTTCCGTACCATGTATTTTAGACTGTTTTGGTCTGTTACTAGGAAATCTGCATATAAAACCAAATACGTCAGGCTAAAAATCACTCTTGCTCCCTGTTATGTAAAGTAAATGAAACTCTAATTTCACTTAGTGATTCTCTGGGTTGAAATGAGTAATTGACATGCACAAAAATAATTCCTGGATGGTTTCCTTAAGGTCGCTCTATCAGGACTTAGGAATGAGCTCAGATGGTACATTAAAGAACTCTAATTTTATGAATGTTTCTAAGTTATCTGCCCTTTCATAAGGACAGAATTCACTGATTACACTTATTCTAAGGTGCCTTAAAGTCTAAAACCATGTAAATCAAAGGAGTTAAATATTTACTGTCTTCCCTCAACTCCTTTGTCAAAGCATATCTAAGCTGTTTCAGCCTCACTCTTCTATTACTTTTTTCCCCTATCAATAATCAACTTTCAAAATGCTCCTGTTATGCCTATAAAGCAGTGTTAGGCTACAGAAAAAGTTTGAAGAGATGAGCTGAATGAATGTGAATAATGCAAAGATGACCTTTATTAATTCTATTACATCTGCTTAATTATCTAATTCTGTCAATTCCTTATACAAATAAGCTTCAGCCACTGCTTGCCTTTCTAGGCGTCGGAGTGGAAAATACGCTGTCGGATCCGCTTGCATCGGAGGCGGCCAGGGCATCGCTGTTGTCATTGAGCGCATGGCCTGAGCCACACAGACAGCCCTGCCACTGAACCTGACTGTGACCAAGGGATGGTGAGGCAAAGATCAACTTATCACGAATAAGAGCCCTCGCCAGAAAAAGTTCTCTCATTTGCACCAAATATGATTGTGTTTTTTAACTAAAATCCAACTATAGAAGGCCTTGAAAAGGAATTTTATCATTGCCAAATAACCACCACTAATGCCTTAGATAACAGGGTTGCCATGAAACTGAATAAATATTGCCTTAACTTCAGTCAATATTGTTGTCATTTCTTATATATACCATATATACATTAGATTTTTTTTTTAAATCTTAATCATTTATAAGTGTACAGAGCAGCACAGAGGTGGGACAACGATCACGGCACTCCCCAATGCTTCCCCCTTCATGGTCACAGGGAGTCCAGGGGCTGGGTCCCATTCTTCACGCTAAACACAGTATTTAGGCCCACAGCTACCGCCAGCCTTGCAGCAAGCTGGGACTGCAAGAGTTGCTTGAGTGCTCCACTCCTTCCTCACTTTTGTGGACATCAGCTGTGTCTGGGAACATCCCCAGAGGGCTTTGGGAGTACCGAGGCATTAAGACAAGTGGGGAGTTGCAAGCCCCGTCTTAGTGGTACTTCCCCGTAGGTCGATGGACTTCAGCAACAGGGACTCTGCCTCAGACTGCACACATACTCCTAGAAGAGTCTCAGTAAAGAAGCAAGCACTTGATGGATGTAAAACTTTTCCAGAACTTGGGGATTGTAGAAAACAAGGTCTCTCCTGCCTATGTATGTGCTGCAACATCTACTCTTCCTACAGTTCCTCTAGTTTCCATTAAGTTAGAGAATAGGATAATGAGAGGGGTCCTCCCAAGTCAGGCTTTGGTCTTGTCTCAGAATGGTCAACATGAAGGCACATGCCTGAGAGAATGGTGGTGCTGAAGAAACGCTTTCTGGCTGGACAAGTCAAAGCCAGACTTGTGCTTTGAACATGCAAGTCCATGACTCTCAGAAATGCCAGATAAAATAAAATCAGAAACCACAGAATGAGGAGAAATGCTGACACCAAAAGCAAAACACACACTGTTATGACTACACACATGCTGCACATCTAGGTTGCAAAGAGAAGCAAAGTCCCCAAGAGCTGAGACCCACAACACAGGTAATTTGAAATTCATAGTCTGCTGAGACTTGGATTTGTGTTTGGTCTGAGCATGTGCCTGGTGCTGGGAAACAATGGATGCAGGAGCCAGAACCTCAGTCAGGCCATCTCCCCAGCAGGCTAGGTACACCTTCAGGGAGACCCAATAACACCCCAGCCTTGCTGTGGAACCACTGCACACATTAGTCATTACCTGAAGCAGGTCAAAACCCTGACGCCATGCAGTTACCCAGCCCTAAAAAGAGGCAGTCTTCCAGGTGCAACTATCACAATTCACATAAGAGAAAATCCTAAAGGCCCCATCAAGGAGTTAACAAAAACAATTAGTAAAGATAGCAAAGTTGCAGGGTACAAAATCAACATAGAAAAATCCAGTGTTTTAATACACAAAGAATGCAAAATAAGAAAAAAAACTCATTTATAATTGCTTCAAAAATAATTAAATACTTCAGAAATAGCCTAAGGAGGTAAAAGACCTAAGCTACTCTATGCTCAGGATAACCAAAATGACTGCCCTGCTCAAAATGATACATACATTTAACA